TTTTTTACAATCTCTAATTCTAGTTAAGGAGAAATTTTCTTAATTTTTGTCCAAATCTAATAGTTTTTAAGAATTCTTTATTTCATGCATAATCTTATATTATAAGAATTAACATAATTTATCTGTGTACTGTATAAATTAGTAAAAAATTGTTTTTCCTGCTGGTATGCTATACCCAGATTAAAGTATTGAAGAGGAAAAGGTAATCTACAACTTTGTTAAGACAATGACGATAAATTTGTTGCACTTTTGTGTATCAAGTAATTTTCCCTTGGAATAAAAAGTATATGTAAGATATAAGTAAGATCCATGAACGAAAAGTAGTTGTAAAATCAATTACTAAATTTATTGTTGACGAACGTGTTAAGAAACACGAAACAATATAAAATGTACATTTATAAGATGTTAATTATCAATTAGGTATCCAAGGTGGTAAGTATTGTTTAGAAAATGATGAAATGATAAACATAAGTCTCAGATGTACCTCACAAGGGCGTTAACTCTTTTCCGAGTGCCTAATCCAGTTTGGCTAATTGGGTAAGACACTCGACTACGAGTCCTCCAGACCAGGATCAAATCCCCTCACTGGAGCAAAAATATGCTTCTTTTCTACTACTTATATTAGCTTTTCTAATAGCTTTTAAGCAGAAAAAATTGAAAATTACGTGGGTTACAATTTATACTTTTTTATTTTTTAGTTGCCGAAAATCTTGCTTAATATCGTGTAGCATATCATGTAGATTATCGTGCAAGAAGTCTTACACGATATCCTATGAGATTTCGTGTAGGATATCTTGTAACATATGGTGTAGGATATCTTGTCCAATATTGCGCAGAAACTTTGTTACGGGATAATATAATCTATACATACTACACGATTATTCAAAGAGGTCTGCCACATGCTTATCTTTTGTTCAGATAACGTACGGATTAAAAATGGTTACGTCAAGTAGATGTTAAAACAAATACATTTGCTGCCATTCATTGTAATGACAAACGTATAAAAAATAGTTACTAAGCACATATTACATGGTTCTTCTAACAAGTATTGTCCGCGTTTAAAAATAAATAAAAAGCTCTAGGTCAAATAAATTTTCTGATTCCTTTACGATGCTAACGATGTTGAAAAAAAAAAGTTATTCTGAATATTGGGATGTAATATGAGCCACTAGAGAGGATAATAAATTCAATATGGTGCCAAAGAGTCAACGCATATACACGCGCAGCATAGGACTCGGAAGCTATTTTTCCTTCTTATTTAAATGTTTGATGACACTGGGGCTCGTGCGTTTTCCTGAACCATATTTACATCAGGGAGCAGCTCCTGGTGCACTTTTTTCATACTTTAGAGCTATCTAACTAACGAAAATCTGTAATAAAATACGCAGCTGTTGATAGCTTTTCCGTGTATACATATTTCTGCAGCAGTGCACGTATACATATGTGTACATCACTCTATCAGCAGCTGCGTATTTTAGTACGGATTTTCGTGAGTTATATAGCTCTAGAGTATAAAAGAAATTCACCAGAAGCTGCTTCCTAATGTAAATATAGTTTAGAAAAATCCACGGGCCTCATTGTCATCAAATATTTAAACACAAAGGAAAAATAGCCTTCAAGCCCTATGCTGCGCGTGGGTATGCGTTGACTCTTCCACGCCATGTTGAATTTATTATTCCCTCCAATGGCCCATATTACATCCCAATGAATAATCAATATAAATGTCTCTAAATATGTTGCAGAATAGAAAGTTATAATCAAAAAAATTTAAGTGGATGATTCTATGATTTACAGAATTAACGTTGTTTCCTATCATCGTACTTTCAATCAACTTTAATTTTGAAATTCTTAGGTAACAAAAGTAATTAATTACCTTATGTAGCTTGTGTTTCAATACTGCATGTCAAGTTAAACATCCATATTATATGTATCTATGCATCGTGTTTATTTAGAGCTTTGTACTAACGTACCAAAAAAGAACGTTTGATCTACATGTTCCATCACTCATTCAACTTATAAAACTTACGATGATACAAATAAGATAACTAGCAACTGCATAGATTTCTAATCTTATTGTATATGCTGCATGAAAAATATGATTTGTTTCTTTGTTATCAGTCAGGGTATACTCTCATTAAATGCAAGTTATTGTTAAGTTTTTTTTTGTTACCAATTAATTTCTTGCAATGCAAATTATGTTACGAAAATAGTTGTCCTGAAAAAAGAAAATTTAATATTGTCCCTGACACTTACATGTATAGAGTAAAAAAAGAGTTTTTAGCAAAAAAAATCGAAGCAGATGCTTCCCTGGCTATACTACGTGGTAAATTTTTTATTAATTTAATTGTTTTAGGCTACTTACTTTAAGTGCTATGTATCAATTCAAAATACGGAATGAATTTTTGTTTGCATTAAGAAGAAAGGTTATACTCCAATCTTCAAAACAAAACTCCAACACAAAATGCTTCTACTAAAAGACAGTATACATTACTTGCAGATATTAAGGGCATTTAGTACATCATTTGAAATGTCTACTTTACCGACTTTCCTACAACAAGAAAATTTTGTTAATAACTAACTATATAACGATTTAAACTCAAAATGATGAGAAGAACCTCCAAGCTGGTACTTTGAAGAATCAATCAAGCCTAAATTCAATGTAATTTGTTGCGAATTGAGAAAGAAAAGTTACTTTTTAAATTGTGTACACTGGCAAAAATATTAAATATGTATAAAAATCTTATGATATTACGTTTTGAATAAAAAATTGAAACGAACAAAGAAATTGACAACAAAAAAGAACTAAATTGAGCCATACGTCAATTAAAATGCTTCCTAAAAAGACAATAACCATTTTTTTTAATTAGTAAATTTTGATTAGTTTTGCGTCACAAACTTTTAAAAAAGTGCCAAAAAAGTATGGGTTTAATAAAGCACAGTTTATTAGGTAACAAAACAATAAATAAAGCAGTTACGTTACGTTACAATACCGTCAAGTGTTATTAGTGATAAGATTCAAACTAATTATAAAAATTGCTTTTCATATAAATTTTGAATCCATAATAAAATGAATTTACTCATTTAGGCATCGTCCTTAAAATAAAAAAGGTCATATTCAAATTTCACTTTATCTATACCTTCAAAAGACAGTTTACACATAACTTGTTTTACAAATGAGATTACTTATAGTAGAATACTATTAAAAAAATTTTATTTTTAAAAATGATGAACTTGTAAGAAAAATATCGAAAATTTATTTTGATAAATATTTCTGGTAGTAAAGGCAAGACTTTTTGTGTAAAACTCCAATTTTTCATTTGTTAACATAACTTGTTTTAATTTAAAAAAAAGTTTGCACGTAGCAAAGACTGGTATTTTCTAACACTAATTTTTTATACGAATAAAAAGTCATTAATAATTTGGATTACCATTAAAATTATACAATATTAAAAATATACTCTTGGAACTACAATTTAAAAATTAAAAGCTGCAAGAAATTAATTCTATCTTCGGAAGTGTAACTTCATCTATTTTCCAGAAACCATCGGAAAAAGTTGATCAAATTTTACGAGATTTATATAACAATGGTATACCACTAGAAAATAAACAAGCTAAACGAATTTCCGTTTCTCTTTCTAATTTCTTCAGTTGTATAGGTATTTTAAGTTTCTATAATTAAGAAATTTAGAACAAGTTCAAATTAAATCTGATGCTTAGATAGATAAAGCTTTACAATGAAACCTTAATGCAGTCATTATTAATTCTCTGTTGTGCTGATTTGTCTGATGTGATTCTAAGCTCACATTGCTGTCACAAAAGATGAAGTTCTTCATTTTAAGTAACTTGCTGTCTCCTATCTACAAATTATAATTAAAAAAAAATTTTGATTTAAGCATATGTGGAATTTTAAGCAAATTTTTACACTTCTTCATATAGACTTGTAGAATTACGCGCTTTAGGTGCTTGTTTCTAGCAATCTTTGTTTTATGTACTGAATAATAAAGTTGACTATAAAAATATTTAATACTTGTGTAGTTATAGTCTCTAAATTGCCTTGTCACGCTCCCACGCGACTGTAAGCAATTATTCTGATCAGGAAAAAATCATGAAAGGATAGTCAAAATTCTGAGATGAGGATGTACTACTAGTGTTCATTATAATATTAGTCATTTAACTGTATTCTGCTTTCTTTGTATAATAACATTGTACAAGATAAGATAGGAAATAATTTTTTCCGCCCTCGGGTGATTTTGGGAGGCTGGTACTTCCTCGGGAAAAAAGCAGTTTTTCGATACTCGTTCGAAAAGTCTCCTTTATGAACCTCGTTACGGACCTTGCCTTCGGCTCGGGCCGCAAGCCTCTCGGTTCGCAAACAAAGACTTTTTAAACTCGTAGGAAAACTACTATTTCCACCATCAGGTGGTTTTGGGAGGCTGGTACTTCCTCGGGCAAAAAAGCAGTTTTCCGATACTCGTTCGAAAAATCTCCTTTACGAACCTCGTTACGGACCTCACCTTCAGCTCGAGCCGCAAACCTCTCGCAAACAAAGACTTTTCAAACTCGTAGGAAAACTACTATTTCGCAATAGTGAGCGGAAAATAGATGTTCTCCGCACTGATAATAGTGAGGAAAATCGATTTTCCCACAAAGTGTGCGGAAAACACCTATTTACGCACACTTATTGCGAAAAAACTTGTGCGAGAGTTGTACACTCGTGCAAGTTAATCACGACTTGTGCGGGAAATCGTCTTTTCCGCACTTGTTACATAAATAACTATTATCAGCTAATTTAATTGTATGATTAACTTTTTAATTATTCTACTTTTCACTAGAAGTCACTAAGTACCAGAGATTTTTTCTTGTATTTTAAGCTTTCTAAAACTCTAGAGAGTCAGATGTTACAAAAAAAAATTATTATGCTTTAATATATTTGAATAATTAATTTATTTCAAATTGGATACATCAGAGATTTTTGTTTAAGTAAACTATTTTTTTTAAAGGTTGAAGCAGCGCGACAATGTGCAAGTAGTCCCCAGGATAATCAAGTTCAAAATTATCTTCGCCTGGCTGTTAAAGAATTGCGTGAAGCTACAGCAACAGCCGCTACTCCAGCCATCAGGCGAAGCTTGATGTTAAAATTAGAAAGATATGCAAAAGTTGCAGCTTCATCCGCAACAGAATACATAGCAGCTTTAGCAAGAGTAGACCCTTATATCGCAAACAGAATTACTCAAAAGCAATTGAACGAGAAATGTAAGTGTATTACTGAACTGATCTCAGAATTAATATCAGGAGTTAAGGGAGCTTCGTCAGAACCTGATGATTCTATGATGCAGCTGAACTTAATAAATGCTTCTGAAAAATTTTGCCACTCAGCAGAGTCCATGATTAAAGTGGTAAAAGTAGTAGTGCCTACCATATCTGATTACTCTTTATCTTTAGAACTTGATAATAACTCTCAACAGCTGGGAACAGTATTAACGGATTTAAGATCCGCATCTTGCCATGCACGGGAAGTTTGCACTGGTCTTCAGCTGGATGCTGCCGAAACATCTGTAAATAAATTAATTTCAGAACTTCAAGATTTGTCCAACTCTATTATTCTTACTATAAAACCTTTACCAGAAGAAAATGAGGAGTCATCATTGTTAAAACTTATCACCATCTGTCAAAAATTACGATTTTGTACATCACAAATTGTTACTGCAGTAAGACAACAAAGTGATTATTACACAGGAAATGCTGCTGCAGAGTATGCAGCAGCATTGAAAGACTTACATTCAGCTATAAAAGGAGTTCTATATACAATAGAAAATCAAGATACGAAACAAACTATTCTGACTATATCCATTAATATCTTATGTATGTCAGTTCAACTTATACAAGAAGCAAGGACTGCTTTACATAATGAAAATTATTTAAGTGATGTCGATGCTTTAGCAGCTATTGAAAAAAAAATTTTTTGTCATCTTGATGAATATATTTCTTCTTTACCCTGGCAAAAAAGCATTGATGACACGATTCACCAAATAAAAGAAGCAAGTCACGTACTCGAGACTGATTGTAGATCAGAAATACAGAACTTTTGGTATGTTTCTTTTAATATACGATATTATTTAAAAATTCAAGTAATTTCCTTCTTCAGAATATAAGATGCTTCTCACTCGTCAGTATTGTTCTTAAATTACTAAATAAAGAATATATTTGACAATTACGGAGTGTCAGCGTATAAGTTATTATTCACAGAAAAAAATTAGTGAACAATGAATTTAGAGCTTTATTTACGTAAAAGAAAAGTTTTTAAAAGTTTTGTATGATGCTCCAAAAAATAATACTGAGATTTAAAATGGTATAAATATTAGTTCATAAGGGCTCAAGGACAGTTTGAACCTCATATATAATAGTTTTAAGATACTGTTCTGACGGTTATTAGCAATTACTATTAATTAAAAAAAGTAAGGACGTTGATAAAGGTACAACTAATAATAATAATTTTAATGACTTAAATTTTGTTCTACAAAGTCACGAGCAGAAATAAAACCACTTTTATTTAAATCTTACTACGTGCATACCAGTTTAAAACATGTTAAAAAATTGCAACAGAGAAATAAGAGTTCCATGTAAATGACAACATCAGAATACAATAAGAAATTATTGGAAGAGAACTTTGATTAAGCTTCTCTACGATGCCAACTGCAGAAAGCAGTTACAATGACATAAAATGAATCTGGTACCAGTTAATTGCTGCAAAACTTCCTCATCTATCGTTTTAAAATTGTTTTTTGTTCTGACCTTAATCCATTTTAGAAATAACTTTTTATTATACGATCAATTGTTTAAATTGTAAGCAGATAACTCATAACAAAATCTTTCTTTGTGCCAAGTTCTTGAAATACTTTACATGTGGGTCACTCTTTTACAAGCTGAATTAATTTTGCTAAAAATTAATCGTCACCTCTCCGATTCAGCTGAAAATTTTTCTCCAGTTTCTATATTAAAAAATAAGAGATACGTAAACAAAGAATTTTTATTATCGCCTCTTTTCGATTTTATAAGTTATAACAAATTTTATAATAGTGGTTGGAGACTCATTCTAAACAATGTATAGCTCCAAATCCTTAAGAGCTACAAAATTTTCACCCATGGCACTATTGTAGCTAAAGAGTTGAACTTTAAGAAAAAATTTGAAAATAAAAATTATCAACAAATCAATATTGTTATAAAGAATTTGTTTCTTTTAATAATTATTTAACAATTTCCCACAAAATTAATCAAGTTTTTATTATTATCATCGTATTCTGCGTCGAATTTTACGTAAAAATCATGTTTTTAAAATATGGAGACTTTTCAATATTGCTAAAATATTAATTTATGTACAGCATAATGGTAAAAAAAACTGCTTTTTGAGTATAAAATGATGCATGTACCTCGTATCAAAAAAAGTTAAACGTAAAAGTTGTAGATAATTAAAGATCTACAACTTTCGAATTTACAATTTGTCAGTAAAACCTCAAAATTTTGTATTATTATGCAAAAAAGTGAGAAATCACCATTTTATCATTTATTTAGTATAANTTCATTTTCCAATCTAATCTCCATCTCCAAAAAGATTATCAACCACTAGGCAAAAAAATAATAACAATGTTCGACGTAACATCAACACGTATACTGTTTTTTGTTCTTCAAATTTTTTTATTGCTACTTTGTTTTTTATTGTTTCGTTCATTTTAAAATAGATTTTTCATCTTCTTGATTTTTTGGAACTTTAAAATTTCGAGGGGAAGCCTGCCTACAGTACGATCTATGATTCAAAGTGTTACCCACGCTACTCGCGTACATTCCCCGTACTACAAGTTCGTTGGCTTTTGGATTAGCTGTGCGCTTATTTTAATCCGCTCTTAAGATATATTCTCACTCGTTGTAGTTTGAAGTTAAATAATTTTTACTTTGTAACAATGCCACGGAAAGAGGCACATAAAATGCAAAATACTAATTATCGATCAGACAGATGTTTTAATCCTTTTAATCTCAATCATCCTACAACAAACACTTCTGATTCGAGGACATTAAATGAAAACCAACTTTTGAAACTAGACTTCGTCAGATGCATTACGACAAAAAATTAGTTTTTTTTGCCGCTTGAAGTTATCAAAGTTGAAAAAAGAAGATACAAAAGAGAGTGAAAATTAACTACCAGAATTGGTACGTACAATATTTTGATTATTATATTCAGTTCAGAGATACCTAACTTCTCGTAGAATTTTGGGTCGATGTCTTAGTCTAATTTTTCTTTTAGATGCTACAAAAGGAGGACTCTTCAAGTAAAGAATCTGATATAAAAGTTAGGAGCAGTGACGGTACATCTGGATTCTCGGGAGATAACCCATTTTTGCAAAGTGAACGAGTAGATTTTTTCAACAAAGAATTAAGCTTCTTAGGATCTTCGCCCACCTAAAAATGAAAACTATTGTCAAAAAGGTATTTGGAAGAAAAATCAAAACAAATATCGTCCGTAATTGATAAAAAGATTTTTAATTCAAGCCGAGATGATCCAGATGATCTTGAAGCAGATAACAACGCGTTCTCGATAATAAGTGCTTTGCAAAAAAACTTCAATACGTCGGCCAACCGCGTTCATAAAATTAAATCTTTGACTATTCATCGATCGTGGTCTTATACAAAAATTAAGGACACAGTTACTTCCGCAAGTCATCACATGATAGGCATAGCAAAAAATGTTGCTTGAGATAAGAGATTAATTGGAGATTCAAACCCAAAACAACATCCATCTCTAGATGATAATGTTATTGATACAATTGTTAGCTTGTACCAGTCTGATGACTACACTCCATATAATATGCGCGGAAAAAAAAAATACTTTTCGATAAAAGTAGACAGAAAATCGGTACCTAATTTTCAAAAAAGACTAGTATCAAATAATTTGAAGGAATTGTATTAAGTTATAACTTGTACGTATCCAACAATGAAATGTAGTTTCTCAAAGTTTGCTAGCTTAAGGCCAAAATATTATGTTTTGGTAGGTGCTTCTGGTACTCACTCTGTTTGTGTATGTCCTATACTTGAAAATGATAGTTTATTAGTGAGTGGTGCCAATTTTAAATCATTTACTTCCGGTTCTGAGCTGCCTTTGATTAATTATAAGGATTGTTTGGATCGTATGGAATGCAAAAACTAAACAATTAATTGTTATTAAAATTCTTGTAAGAAGTGCCCAGGCGTGACTAATGTTATTGAGCAACTAGAGAAAATTTTTAAAGAAAAATGTATTGAAATTGATATCCACAAACAATGGGTTGTGGTTGAAAGAACCTCATTGCAGACCCTAATATCTCTAGTTGATGAATTTTTACAGAAGTTAAGTGAAGGTTTGCAAAAATTGTTGATTCAGTTATTTTAGGTTAACAAACAAAGGGATTTTTAAAATGAGATGAAAAATAATTTCAGAGAAAACGAGTGTATCGTAATTTGCGACTTCTCAGAAAATGAGGCTTTCATAATTCAAAATTCGGTTTAGGGTATACGTAAGAACAACGATCAGGCAACCGTTTACTCGTTTTCAATTTATTATAGGAATGACTTGGATAAATTAAAAATTTTAAGTCTTGTTTGCATTTCTAAATGCCTACGTTACGACGCTGTTGCCGTACATCTATATCAAACGCAGTTGATTGAATTTATTAAAATAAATGTACTGTATGTTAATAAAATAATATACATCTCTGACGATGCGAGTGGACAGTATAAAAACAAAATCAACTTTAATAATCTCACTCATCACTTTGAAGACTTCAATATAGCAGCAGGGTGGAATTTTTTTCCTACTTAACATGGACAGGGGCCATGCGACGAAATAGGCAGAAATGTAAAACGACTAGCTGCCAGAGCAAGTCTTCAGAGAATTAACAATCCCATTCGAACGCCACGAGAACTTTTTGATTGGGCAACAGAATCACTACCAAATATTACTTGTCGTTATTCTACAAATGATGATAACGAAGAAGAAAGAAAATTAGTGTTAAAGAGATTTTTAAGTGCAACAACGATTAAAGGAACGCTAAAATATCATAGCATAGTTTCACTATCTCGTCAAGAATTAGAAGCGAGGCTGTTTTCTTTGCACGAAAAAACAAATATTGTGAAAATTTTCAAGTGACATAATTTTGTTATGAATCTGTCAAAAAAGTTTTTTTTGTACGTAAAAATTTTGTTACATCTATAAATAAACATTAAGCAATCATAATACTGACTTGATTTTTTATTACATATTTTTATTGATTCAACAAAATATGTTTTCTTCAGTTGTTCTTGCTTTTCTCAGTTTTACAAGTAAAAATTTACTTTCAATAAATATTTAATGATAAAACGGTGGTTTTTCGCTTCTTTGCATGATAATACAAAATTTTTAAGTAATACTGACAAATCGTTAGTACAAAAGTTGTAGATATTTTAATTATCTACATATTTTACGTTTAACTTTCTTTGACACGAGGTACCAATGTCATTTTTTACTCAAGAAGCAGTTTCTTTTACCATTATGCAGTACATAAATTAATATTTTAACAATAACAATTGAAAAGTCTCCATTTTTTAAAAACATGATCTTTACGTAAAATTTGACGCAGATGACGATGATAATGATATAAACTCGATTTATTTTGTGGAAAATTGTTAAAAATTTGGTAAAAGAAACAAATTGTTTATAACAATATTAATTTGCTTATAATTTTTACTTTTCAATTTTTACTTAAAGTTTAACTTTTTAGCTATAAAAGTGCGATTGGTCAAATTTTTGTAGCTCTTAAGGATTTGGAGCTAGGCATTGTTTAAAATCAGTCTCCGACCACTATTATGAAATATGTTATAACGTATGAAATCGAAAATAGGCGATAAAAAAAAATTCCTCAGACACGTATCTCTTACTTTTTAATATAGAAACTGGAAAAAAACTCTTAGCCGAATCAGAGAGATGAAGGTGAAAATCCGTTTGATTTGTCAATGAATGAACCATGTTAACCTTTCTTTGTCGTAGATATTATTATTTCTAAAAGATTTTTTGAAGAAAATTTC